ACTATCAATGCATCAAGCATTTCAATATTCATTATCATCAGTCTTGTTCAGTAAGCCACCACATTATAGGCCTCATTTGATTTCTCAGCAGCAGAACCCATGTGTAAGCTCATTCTCCTGGGAGCTGGCGTCTGTGCTATCATTGTCCCTGCAGCAAGCTGCTGGGCATTCAGGCCCAGTATCTCAATTAGAGATCCCCACCTCTAATTTGTCCTCTGAAGTACACATGGCACCAGTATCCCATTTGGCAGCTGGAAGTATGTAAAGAAGGAACAGTGTTGTTTTTTTCCTTCATCACTGTCTTCCTGTCCTTGTACCTTTGGTCCTCTCCAACTGCCTGTCACAATGATAGTTCTTGGGGAATAGAGAATGACAGAACATGGTTGTGATAAAGGGCAAGAAAGAAAGAAGAGATGTGCTCTTTAATCACTTGCACTTTGAAAATTCAGAGTATGATGAAGGGGAGTGAGACATGAAAAGGTGGACTATGTATAAGTAGCATGGAGACCACCATCTCCTCCAGGGGTGAAAACCTGTTGCCTTCTGTTGTCTCTAATAAAATACCACCTTGAGCTGCAAGAGAGAGAAAAGTGTGTTCATATATGTCTAACAATAATTTGGGGTAATGCAGCGGCCATGGTTAGATAGTCATGTTTGCAATGCGTCCAAGCTGTGAAAGGTGGGTGTGAGGCTTCTAACTGTGTACCATATCCCAGGGAGAGATGAACCAATCAATTGTGCTTGATAGAGCTGGTTAGCAGATACTGTACGTGCTTGGTGACATGGGAGGCTAATGATCCCCTTAGTGGGATGTTGCATGTGAGAATGCATTCACCAATTTTGACCTCTGACATGAGGTCATTGAATCCTCTGTGGGCCCACTTCCGAATCTTTATGGCTGGATCCCTGTCAGTTTTTTTTTTCTGAAGAGTTTCCAAGACCCCTACAGATACAAAGTGCTGAATTTCAATTCGGGATTGGGAACACACCATAAGAACAAATTCCAGGTCCCAAGCCAACACATCGTGGTTCAGATACCCACCAGTAATGAAAGGTTCAGCCAATTAATGCCTTGGGCGTGAGTTTGTCCACAAACAAGACACTGTCCCAGACTCTCAGGTCAGCAAACTAGGCAGCCAAGGTGGAGCTATTGAAGAAAGAGAGGAAGAAGGCCAGGTGTTCTTTTTATAAGTTTAGAATGTCTACAATCCCTGGCCACCATCAATCACAGTCAACTCCTCCAAAGTGGCTTTTGCTATGGCCAGACAGCCATTACAGGCAAAGGAGATCCCTCAAAAGTCATGTTATGTCCATCCCAACCACTCCCAACACTGGCCAATGTCCCGAATAACAGCCCCACCCCATCCATCCTCAACCTGACTCTAGTGTTCAATTGTTCTGTGTTTGATTCAGTGAGTCTGTTTACTATTGATGGTCATGGTGTTTGATTGGTTAAAATTGGGTGTGAACCCAATTCCCTCACTCCATTACTTTTCTCCTGATTTTGATTTATTATCAGGTCCATTGTATTAGAACAATGGAAACAGCACACTGATTTATTTGTTTTAATGAGAGTCCTTGATCTGTAACCATGAAAGACTTTATTCAGTTGTTTGATTTGTACGATAGTGCTTTAGGAAGGGAAAGACTGCTTAATTTTGATGATTGATACATCAAAATAAGGATCTACTTATTTTAGTCTTGAGAAGATTTGGTCATAATGCTCTGATAGGAAAATGATTTAGTTTCTTGGATAATTTCAACATATGTTGCAAATCTATGTGATAGAAACTGACTTACCACACTGATGGCTGGAAAAGATGAAGGATCTGCCACAGTCTGAGCTAGCGCCTTGTGCTTTCTTCAGAGTTTTCCCTTCAGAACACCTAGTTTAAGGTTATCCTGGTTATTTAATTAGGCTGTCCTGATAACTCAGGGGTAATAACTGAGCTGTGCAACTCAGCAAGCTCCTGGGTTCAATCTGTACCGTGATACAAACACATAAAATGGAATGTGCAGGAAAAGACCAGCTGGCTCATCAAGCCTAAATGATATTGGAATATCATTTCATTCTCCTTCCACCACCTTCCACTTTTCCATAGGCAAATGACTTACTGGGAGTCACAACAAAAAAGAACCCTTGGGTCACTAACAACAACATCAACAACTTACATTTAAGTAGCAGCTTTAGTGTATTGAAACATCCCAGAGGGCTTCATGGGTGCATTATGAAACAAAATATGACACTGAGCCATGTTAAAAGATATTAGTTCAGGGGACTCAACGTAATTCAAGGGGGTGGGTTTGGAGGAGCATCTTAAAGGAGGAAAGTCAGTTAGAGTGGTGCAGGAAGGATGTTTCACAGCTTGCAACCTAAGCAACTGAAAGGACATCTGTGATTGGGTTATTTAAAATGTCAATGGACAAGACGTCAGAATTAGAGCAGGGCAGATATCTCAGAGGGTTGTGGAGCTGAAGGAAATTAGAGGTAGGAAAGAGTCAGGTCATGGAAAGGTTTGAAAGCAAGGATGAAACTGTGCTTGACTAGGACTATGTGTCAGCGAATACAGGGATGATGAGGAAACATGATTTAAGACATGGGTAGCAAGGTTTCACCTAATTTCAAGTTTACAGAAGGAAGAATATGGAAAACCAACAAGGAGTGCTATGAAATCAAGTCTAGAGGTAACAAAGACATGAATGAGGGCCGAAACGGACCCGAAACAGACCCGAAACATTAACTCTGTTTTCTCCTTCACAGATGCTGCCAGACCTGCTGAGCTCTTCCAGCAACTTTGTTTTTGTACATGAATGAGGGCCTCAGCAACAGACAAGTTGAGGCAGGGACAAAATCAGGAGATGAAAGTGGAAATAGGTGGTTGAACTGAAGGCATAAATGTGAAGTCAGAAATTCATGAGGGGAATAATTCTGGAAAATGTAACTGTGCCATTCCCCCACTCTCTCACTTCAAGAGATCAAATGTACAAAATGTTACAGATAAAGACCACCTGCATGAAGCAATCTTTGCTTCAGTAAAAATTGGTCCATCCCCTTCTTAAAACCTTTCAGAGAGTCAGCACTCAGCACAGAGGCTAGCACTGCATTCCACAGGCCCACCACACTCTGGCAAAAGAAAACCACTAACCACCTAGTCTAGTCCTACTCTTACAAAGTTTAAACGATTTGGTTGACATTATTGTGATTGTCATTGAAGCAACTGACCTCAGCAAAAGTGGGCGAGACATGAAAAGATTGGTCAGGAGTTCCCTTCTCTTCTATTCATGACCCAGCCACCCTTACTAAAAGAGTGTAAGATCACAAGCCACCCCAGTTTGACTCTGATGCTGTCTGCATCTGGACAGCTTGTTAATCTCACTGCCTGAACTCCTGCTAAAAGAACTCTTATTTGGCCAAGGTATTGAAGGGCAGAAGTTCGCAAACTGGAGATTGGCAGAACCCACAGAAAAAAAGCAGAAGCAGTTATTTTTAAAAATTATTAAATGGGACGTGAACTTTGCTTATAAGTTCAGCATTTGTTTCCCAATTCCTAATTGCCCTTGATAATGTGCTGGTGAGCCACATTCTTGAACTGCTGCATGCCACATGTGTAGGTAGCACCACAGTGTAGTTAGAAAGGCATTTTAGGATTTTCTTACAGGAATGGTGATTTGCTTCATGCCGGAATTCTATGGTACCTGAAGGCAAATTTACATGGGGTGATGTTCTAATGTTCCCATCTGCCTGATGCCTGGGTCCTTGTAGGTGATAGAGGACATAGATTGGGAAGGTCTAAGGAGTCAACGGGACCAGAGAGTACAAGGTGTATTAAACTTGTATAAAACACTGGTTCAGCCTTGGCTGATGTATTGCATCCAGTTCTAGAAACTACAGGCTGAGTAGGAGTTTGAGAGAATGCAAAACCAAAGATGGTTCCAAGGATGAGAGATCTCAATTACATAGATTGGAGAATTTAGGACTAGACAGAGTCAATAGGGAAAATTGTTCTGTTGGTGGAAGGAGCAGGAATCAGGGAGCTCAGGTTTAAGGTAATTGGCAAAAGAAACAATAGCGACATCAGGAAACCTTTTTTTCCCCACAGTGATTGTGCAGTGTTATGTGAAGAGGTGATTGGACTGACAATAAGTGAATTGTTTCTTCAGACGACCAGCACAGACACTAGGGGCCAAATCGTCTCTTTTATGTTTCTCTGTCCGCTCACCTTATTTCTACAAGATTTCTGTCAATGTTCCAGTAAAGTTATGAAGCAACGTCAGGACAACCTTGTAGACATTTTCCTGTTAAGGATGACATGCCATTAATTTTCAATATGGGATAATAAAACGTTGTACTGAGTGAATCTGATCATTACTGTTGCTGAGTATTTACAATTTGTGAAATAAAATAGATTAATGTTTCACATCACATATCAAAATACCAGATGGTTTCTCAGTTTGTCTTCATAGGAATTAAAAATTATGACATACAATGGCTATCATGTTTAAATCACAATGGTAAATTATATCAAACTACTCTATAGCTGCATAATGTGCAGTATTGGCTTCTCTTAAACATAAGACATTCAGTCCACTTACAGGAGAACCTAGCATCAATGTACCTGAGAGAATATTTAAGACCTCTAGTTCATAATAGAAGACTTGAATGGCAGTAAAATTTCCAAATGATTCCCTTCACAGTGCTTTGCCTCCATTGTGTTTTTACCCTGCATTCACACAATAAGCAGTTCCTCTAGAAAGTAGCAGGAACTTAGTGTTTCACTGTCAAGTGAGAGAGTGAATACTTCTTGTACAAATGCATGCTTGCTTTCTTTTTCTACCTTTCTAATTCTCTTCCTTTTCCAAACAACTGTTCTCTCAGTGGAGAAGGTGAGCAAATGAGACCCTGTGGAAATTTGATTCGAGATACAAAAGCTCACATCACTGCCAGCTTCGGCAGGTATTATGAAAATGCTCATGTGATCTATTCTTCATCTCTCTTCCAGGAATTATGGCTGGTTCTAATAGATCAGGAGACCTCAGGGATGCCCAGAAGTCTATTCCAATTGGTACAATCATGGCAATTGCAACAACATCTGCAGTCTGTATCCTTTTTACTCTTAATGCAGAGCTTAGCTAACCTGCTCCTAATAAGATAATTAAGTAATAACTTTCATTGCTGTGGTGTACAAAGCATTAAATGGCTCCCACATGGTTATTAGGCACAGAAGCTGACAAATTATGATTTTTAATAAGTATGTATAAAGACTGCTTAATGCTAGAAATATTAAACTAATTAGAGTTATAACTGAAAATACTCTGAAATGAGATAATATAAATTATTTTTTCATTTATTTTGTATGAAATTTAGTACAGCTGTTTCTACTGAGGGGCTCTCATAAATGTAGTGGTCATACTACATTGAAGTCTGTCATTTATCAAAATAAGAAGCATCCAAAATTGCTCTGACATGCCAACTTTTCTGTCTCCCACATCAACTGGGTGGAATTTTAACTATAGTAGCATGAGTGATTGGAAGTGGTTTAAAAACAGGAAGCTTGCCCCAAACCTCTAGCCATCAACAAGCCCTTTGGACTAAATGGTCCACTCCTGTTCCATGAGATCCAAAGATCTGTCTTTACCTACAGCATGCCAAGCTGTGCACAAACTAACCCTTCGAGAGAGGTGGTTATTAGTTTTGATATGTCAATTGCTCAGTTAATGTGATATTGACATGGAATTTGAACTTTAACTGTGGTTCCTAAAGTTTTCTGAGTTTCTCAAAACTTGCCTGAGAAAGTCAAGTGAGAACACAATGTCAAATGAGGTATCTGATAGGAAGATTTGCCAGTAAATATTAAAAACTCACAACTCTTATCTTGCCTACTTGTCACAGTACTGTGCTGGAAGTTTACTTTTTGCTCCTTTGGAGGTCACATTGACACCTTTGTAAGTTAGTAAGGCCAACTTCACCCTTCAGAGATCTGATTTATCAGATCAGCATGGGTACTGCTTGCTTTATTTTACTTTGGACTTCAGATGAGAACCAATATAGTTGATTTAGGTGCTGGTACAGATGAGAACCAGCTGTGCAGCTCCAGCAGAATCAGTACCAGCAGCTCCAGCAGAATCCATACCAGTAACACCAGCAGAATCCGTACCAGCAGCTCCAGCAGAATCCGTACCAG